ATGAGCTTCAGTTGAAGGAGGAGAAGCTTGCAGAGCAGCTCGGGCAAGCTGAGGAGCTCAGGTGAGGGGGCCCTATGGAGGCAGGTGGGCAGGTGTGTAAATCTCTGAAGCAGAGCAGCTTGGCGCGTAGAAGTAAGAGCTAAGCTGGGTCTGGGGAAGGGCAGGAATTGCCATGGCAGGCTCACAACACACAAAAATTTATGAAACAGAGAAGAAAATAATAAGTTAAGGGTTGTAGTTGTTTCTCAGAGCCTTGATTTCTCTTTTTGAAAGAAGTAATTGTTGAGGTGAAATTTGCATAACACAAAATTAACTAACGGAGTGGGAACCACCCAGCAGCATTGAGTGTAATCAAAATGGTGCGCCATCACCACCCCACTTACCCTTAGTCAGAATCACCTCCTGACTGACTGTGGCATCTTATCTTTGACCCAATCAATGTTGCCTTCTGGAGCCTGTCATTCATTTCTTCTTTTATCTTTTCAATTGGCCCCGTCTGCACCTGGCCTCATTTCTGTCCATGGCTTTGTATCTAGTGACTGCGAGATGTACTATGTGCATTTTCACATGGAAATGTCCATGGCCAGAGTGAGGAACTGAAAGGATGGATGTCTTTTTGAAAGTGAATAAGAAGACACCTACTTTTGTTTAGAGAAGGGAAAGATGAATGGAACATTGTCGAGGATCTTACAGGAGTCCTCTCTCATACAGAGGAAGCCTGTAAATCATATTTTCTTCTTTCTGTTGACCACAGACATTTGTTTAAACATGTGCTGGCCTTCTCCTTGGAGGTCTCCTGGAGGATATTGTCTCAGAAATCTGTCGCAATATTCGAACTGATCACTCACCCTTTTCCACTGTGAAATTTTCTCTACTATTTCACCTTAGGCAATATAAAGTCCTGGTTCAGTCTCAGGAACGAGAGCTGAGCCAGTTAAGGGAGAAGTTCCCGGAAGGGAGAAATGCCGCCCGCGCATTGAATCACCATCTCCAGGCCCTCCTTACTCTGGATGAACTGGCCAACTCTCAGGGGTGGGACCTCCGAGAACAGCTGGCCGAGGGCTGTAGGCCTGTCTCTTATACACATCTAGATGTGTATAAGAGACAGGCACAGCACCTCGTCCGAAAGCTCACCCCAGGTAAGGTTTCCATAGGACCTGATGACCCAAAACCCCAGGCTTATGAGAGATTCTAGACCTCCATCCTTTCACAATGACAGTTGTATCAGTGATGTTTTTTTCCACTAAACATATGTGGCGATGACATGACCAGGACTTCCTGGGTGAGTACTGAGGTGGGTTACCCTGCAACCCATGGGGTTGGAGGTCACAGTATTGCGAATGTCCCTCTTTCCTTGATGGAAGATGGTCTTTGGAGCCAGAGGCAACATCTCTCTAGTTGTAAAGGAGAGGAAGGAGGCTGTGACAGGAGGGTGCTTGTTAGAGTGAAAAGAGCTCTGGACTAAGAATGAAGGTTCCCAGACTGTCTCTTTGAGAATGTTCTTAGTAACTGTCACTGAGTGAATGATTTTTCTCTCGTGAGATTCTCTCTCTCCATCTGCAAAGGCAGGCACATTGTCTCTTGCAAGGTTCTGAAGCATCCAAATGTGGGAACACTTACGACTGCTTTTGAAAATGAGATAAAGCCCCCTCGCCATGTGGTGTTGGAGAAGGCACTTGATGTGGGGGTATTTGGTGGTAGGAGGTGCTTCAGACTGGAGCACTCCCCATGGAGAGCATGTCCCTGAATAACACAGCAGAAGCCACGTGGAGGGCCTGTGAAGTCCCCTGATGCATAGACGATTGTGGGGCCAGTTTGTCCTCTCCTAAGAGAAAGAATTAGGTTCGAAATGCGAATGGTGACAGGACACCAAGCCCGTGCCTGGGAATCAGATTTGTGGTGGGATGATGGAGACAGCTGCCAAATTCCAGAGAGAGGCTGCGCGAGTCCCCCAGTGATATGGGGAGTAAAGGGTCTTTTCAGTGTTTGGCTACATCTTAATGGTGGCCCTCCAGATCCGAAATGCATTGCCTGATGGATCAGGAAACCATGGCAGGGCATTTTGTTAATGATAAACCATGAGGGCTTTCAGTTGAAAGGTGACCCATGCCTAGATGTCCATCTCTCTGTGCACATTGGGCTGACTGTGCTTGCAGAGTGTGAAGTGGGAAATAACTGAATGAACACTTCTGTATTTACAGAAAGTCATGTAGGTGACGATGAAGATGTTGAAGTTGAGGAGGCTGAGAAAGTACAGGAATCGTATGCCCCCAGGTAACCGTGAATAATCAGGAGCAAGTGATGGGTTTTGACATATGGAAAAGGTCTAAGAGGCACACCCTCTCTGGCATCTATGATGGGCCAAAAGCCTGCATTCCCTTGGCCACAGTATGTGAAATTCAACCCAACTTAGACACCGGGTGTGGCAGCTGTGGTGTGTCTCTGTGTGTGGTGAGTGTCATGTCTATACTGTACAGGGATAGCTGAGTTTTCTTCTTTCTCAGATCCTATCTGTCCAGTGCAATGAACACCAGATGCTCTCTTCCTCTCTGTCTCCCATGGCGCCATACTGTGTTGCAGAGAGAAGAGGATTGCCTGTTCCCTCTTAAAGGGAACCTCCTGTTTGCTTTCTGTGACCACTCTCCTAATGCCTCCTGTCAAAACCGGCTAGGACTCCCTGGGGTCCAATCCCTCTGTGTTTAATCTTCTGGCATCTCTATCTCACCTCATCAGGGAGGTGTGGAAGGCTGAAGAAAAGGAAGTCCCTGAGGACTCAGTGGAGGAATGTGCCGTCACTTGTTCAAATATCTATGGCCCTTCTGAGTCCAACCAGCCTCAAAAGAACTCCAAAATCACATTTGAGGAAGACCAAGTGGACTCGACTCTGCTTATAGACCGTG